GTGGGCTAGCTGAAGCCTTAAAATATCAGTCCAGCCTGGAGAGGCTATGAAAATACTACAAAGAGGGTTACCTGACCTTAGTAGTGGGTCGGCTGAAGCCCTAAATGTCAGTCCAGCCTGGAGAGGCTGAGCTCAGAATATACTCCTTCTTCAACAAGCTACAAATAAAAGAACACATTATCACAAGAGAAACCATGGAGCTTCTACTCGAAGACTGGAGATCAGGTGTACAGTTTGTTAGCCTTGTTACCTAATAGAGTACGCAACCAATGCTCAATTGCTCTAAAGGGTGAGGATACGAGCAAATACACCTATCCAAGGGAAACAACGCAGAAGTGACAGCACCAAAGAGATGAAGAGAAGACCCGGACGAAATGTCTACGTCTTTACTTGCCTTTGGAAAAGCAACACATTGCTATTCCAAAGGAAGAGTAAAGAGGGGCAGTTGTAGACACCCAATTTCGTACGGACCAACAAAAGCAATGAAATGGACGTTTATCATCAAAGAAATGGAGCTCCCAAGCATGGAAATAACAGGACATGACATCAGAAGGCCTAAAAGCCCAAACAAGCTGGTTTTAGTAGCCTGGAACAGGCTGTTGCAAAATCGGAACGGGTCGTTCTCAATTTGGAACAAGCCGTTCCAAGTTCCTAAAATGGCCTAAAACCCTAGTTTGGAACGAGCTATTCCTAAACTATAATGGGCCGTTCCAAGCTCTTAAAAAAGGGCTAAAACCTTAACTAGAATGGGCCGTTCCAAGTTATTAAAAAGGCCGAAAAACCCTTGATTGGAACGATAGTTGCAGTCTAGTCAATTATGTGTTAATCTCATCTCTGGAACGGGCCATTCTAGTTTCTGAACGGGCTGTTCCGGTTACAAAATTAACACAGAACGGTCGGATCCAGAACAGTTCGTTCCGATTTTGGAACGGGCCGTTCTGGAAACTTTTTGATGTCTATAAATAGACAGCTCGGGCGCAGTTCTCAGGGCCCCAAAATTTCGTCCAATACTCCTTAGAGCTCGAAATTTCTCTCTCTTTCTCTCCTATTGTATTTCTTGAATTTTGTGAGGCTTATTGTAGTGTGAAAGGTTGCCACAAAGCACCTAAAAATCTCCATATTTGAAGATTCAATAGAGCTCGTTCAAGAGGTATTTCAGTCAATCTTCTTCTCTCCCTTTTATTTCTTATCTTTTATAAACATTGTTATAATAAAAGCAATCATGTAGAAATTTTAGGGTTAATTGTATAATTTAAATTTCAAGCATGTAAATAGTCATCAATAAAAGGGGATTAAATATTTATATTATTATTGTTTATAATGTTAACTTTATCATAGGGTATCGATTAAGGGCGTTGTAGGGGTGCTTAATACCTTCCATATACGTAATCGACTCCCGAACCCAATTCTGGTTATTAAGGTCATTATTGGACTTTTAAAAATCTTTTCTTTTTCCAATGTTTTGAGTAAAATATTGGTGGCGACTCCATGAACTTATTTTCAAAACCATTAATTAAGGATTAGTCTGGTGTCCGGGCATTCCTTAATTAATGATACTTTTAAATGGATGTTTAAACCATATGTCGCGATAGACATTCCTTAGTTGATGAGATTTTCAAAAGGATGTCTAAACCATAGGTCGCAAGATCAAAAAATTTCGGATTGCGACAATGGGGAACAATAGTGGTACAGTCTTCTTTTGACAAAGAAAGTGTTGAAACTTATAGGTTTGACCCTGGAAGAGAAATGATAGTCAACGAATCATCAGCCCTTGGCTGGTGGGAGATGGTCTAGCTTAATACCTACAAGAGAGAGATCTTGTAAGGTATGGTGACGTACATATCATTCATGAAGTTTGTCAAGCTCGTACTAAGGTAGCTTCTCTTTGTCCTTGCAGATGGAGTGAATTGTAGCATTGGGGACAAAGTCTTGAATGTATAATTTGGTTCACAATTGAATCATCCAAGGTCTCTAATGCTCACCAAGCGCGAAGGGAAGGTTGTGAGAAATGCCTTTTTTGCTCAGTTCAATTGCAGTTCTTGAGGTCAGAAAATTCTGTATTTCATTCTAGTATTGCTTAATAATCCTTATGGTCTGACCATCCAACTAGGGAAGCCAGTTCAATTTGATCTCCCTTCAAACAGGTTGCATCTCAATATTGGGGCGAATAATATTGTTAGATTTGCTATTGATATTCAATTCCTCATACTTCTAAAAGTTGAAGAAGAAGAACAAGCGTTTGTTGGAGTCATAAATGAAAGGAGTCCATTCATCGTTTATTGACATCTCCTTGCATAAGCACTCCATTTTTCATGCTTCTTTAGAGTCTGTGCTACCATCATCAAACTCGAATAGATCAGAGGGTGGCACTTTAGAGGTGAAGTCCTTTAGGTCCCTCTAGTTTGGTACCACCATGGAACTGTCAACGTTGAGAGGTTCAACATTCAAGATCACCTCTGTTGACATTATGACATAAAAAATTGCACGCATAGGTTCCACCAAGATTGGAAACTATGGTACAATAGGGATGCCAAATGGACCATGCAAGTTCAAGTTCTTAGCTTCAGCGTCAACGTCACCAACTTGAGAAAGACATTTAGATTGAGGTTCCCCCTTAGAAACAACTTGGGCAACCTCCTAAACTGGTACCTGGGGCTCCTCTTGAGCCTGAAGCACAAATGCCTCATACACTTGGCTTTCATTAGTCTTGTGCTCCTCCTAAGCCAAAATGAAGGTCTTTGAGAGAGACAACTAAGAACAACTTTTAATTGTTGAGCCTCTAGAGCAATTAAAGTAACATTTGTGAGGACCTGCTACTTGGCTTCCTTAACAAATTAAAGTTTCAAACGCTTCACAACTTTCTTTTTCTCTAAGTCCCTTGAGGCTGGGACTGGTCTTGGGCCATGTACTAGGAGTTGCATGTGGATAGATGGAGGTTGTAGGGTGGTTTGTTGATGTGGTTGTGTGGTTGAGGTTTAGGTTTAGGTTGTGGGGTAGATGAAGATGTTGGTGGTAGTTTAGATGGTGGAGGAAGTTGGGAGATGATTTATAGGCTAGATGTGGAGGATTTTCATGTAAGGCGGTGGATTACTAGCTTATCCTCTGAGTCAAATGAAGATTTTTGGACATGTATTTTGAGGGCTTTAGAGACGATGAGTTTTGGTCGTTATTTGGAAGGTGAGGATTCTTATGTTTGAGTGGAGTTGTAAGTCTGGCAAGTACTTTGAGCAATCTTCTTCAAAAGGGGCTTTTCCTCCTCTGGTTTTGTCTTGATTGTCAATGGGTGGCCCCTTACTAAGGGGAATAAATGGACCATAGTGTGGTCATTAACACTTCTCCTCCTTTAGGATTGACAGTGAAAGACTTTGTGTTGATCCTTGCTTCTTGGATGACCTTAGTAAATAGCATCCCATATGGAATAGGGGCTCTTTTACTCCTTCATGGTCTCGTTGCAAGAGCCATGCCTTCTAATGGTTGTAGATCAACTCTAGTAGGTTAATCTTACTCCCCAACACTAGGCAATACAAACAAAAACCTATCCATGTCAGAAATGTGATCACATGATCTTGACCTTGGTAAGAAGGTGTTGAAAAGTAGGTTATGGAACATCCTTCATAATGGTGTGAGGTTTCCCATGTGGAGGAATTTCTTTTGCTCATTCCTCTTCAATGGTATAGGGTCATTCAAGTAGATAAGTGCATTATAGTCCCTTGGGTTATGGTGACCTCCCAATCACCCTTGTAGACCTCACCTTTTTCCTTGCATCTTGAGGCCATTGTGATGAGTAATGGGTTCACTTGGACGGTCATCTGGTCTACTCGTCCAGTGATAGAATGCAACTCCTAAATGGCAGACGCCCAGAAATAGGCATAAGGGGCATGGTGCCAATTTCACTTCAACTCTGTGAACTTGGTCTAAGCGGCATTATTCGTAAAACGAGAATAGTAGGAAGCAAAGTTAGTGTTCAACAAGTATGTAATCCTTTTCCAGTGCCTTTTTGTGAAATCCAGGATCTTTATCCTTTGTTTTAATGTTTTTAAACACTTTTAACAAAATGTGAGTTTCAAGACAACTATTTTTGATCTATTAAAATATAAAGCATTCATTTGAAAATTTAAAAATGTCAATCACTATAAATAATGATCGTTAAGAATAGTTTGTAAGCTTCATTTGATTTATTTCGTCTTATAGACACTATTTCGTCTTACAAACACTATTTTGTTTTACAAAACCTGAAATAGTGGCTTTTATAAAGTGTTTTATGATAGCATATTGAAACAGTGAGTTTTATAAAGTGTTTTATTATTATCATTTGTCAATACTCTTTTACTAAGTTGTTATTATGTTTAGCTTTTCTCATCAAAGTGCAGAAATTGTACATTTGAAATCTTATGCAAGTATAGGCTAGCTATAGTTGTAGTTAAATTTTTTTTTTTTTTTTTTTTTTTTTTTTTTTTTTTTTTTTTTTTATGTTTTTCATATCAAGATTGTTCCATAAATTCTGTTTATTATTAATCGACCTGTTAAGACACTATTCTATGTCAAAATGACCACATGATTATCGGTCTATCATATCTATTTCAGAAGGCAATGAGAATATACCTTTTCTTATATACTCCAAAAATAATGCATTTATCTATCGAGACTTAATATGAAATTTAAAATTAATAGAATATTATCCTTTTCATCAAATTTAGACTAACAATAATATTACTTCTTTATAACACACCAATTGTGTTTTTTTACTACGACACGTATACAATATTTTACCGGTACGAAAGTAACTTAGAACTTTGTCAGGAATAAAATCCAGACTTTGATATTTCTTACATTAGGCAAGTCATGATAATGATAGCACTTTGAACTCCAAAGTGTACTGTAAAGCATGACAAATACCCTTTGAAAACTCCTCTTCACCAACTCTATAGTCAAGTCATTATCTCATGTTAAACTTGAACTCTTTTTTACACTCCAAAATGATGCAGTACTCTCTCAAATAAATGTTACTCTAACTGAACTTATGATACCATATTGTTATTAGAACTTGAAAAATAAACCTTGTTGCCATAACAATGTTTTTATCAATAATGTACATAAGATGGCAAAATCCACGAATCATATCTATCAACATTTTCTGGATTAAAGTTCCTCAAGAGTGACCAAGTTGAACAAATCGTGGAGAAAATGCTAATTTACCAAAAAAGAAAAAAGTGAAGATAAAGAAAAACAAGGGAAATTCATTCACTAATATTTCTTAATTAACATACATGTAGTGCCTCCCTAAATCCAATTCTAAAACTAGTGCTACTACCCTTTCGACCCCTCTTACCCAACTCTGCATTGCCTTTCTGCATCATAGCCACAAATTCATTGTAGTCTATTCTTCCATCCTGAGAGACAAAACATGATCATAACAAAGTCATCAAAAGATGAAGAAAACTTGGAATTTCACCATAGCATAAAATTACTTTAACATCATCTAAAATTTGTATTATAGCCACCTAACTGTATTATTATAATTAATCTGTTTGGATATGAATTAAAAGTGTTTTGGAGAACTTTCGGTTAGAAAAAATTCTTTATTTTCGATAAAGATGCTTTCAAAAGCTTTTTTAAGGTTGTATCCAAAGAGATTCAATATCTTATTCTAATGGTAGTAATCAAGAATTTGATGAATTTGAGGAAAGCTATAAAATAGTGTCAATTTGCTCATTTCTTATACATTCATTATGTTATGTGACAATGAATAAATTATGTTGCTGTTAAATATAAACTCACATTGTCCTGATCAGCTTCTCGGATCATTTCCTCCAAGCGGACATCTCCAATGCCAAATTCTTCACAAGCTTGTTGAAGCTCATCTTGAGTGATGTAGCCACTTCCATCTTTATCAAAATAAGAGAATGCTGCAACTAGATGATCTTCCCTGTCAATCTTGTTTAGATGCAATGTTGCAGCTATGAATTCTCCATAATCAATTGTGCCACTGTTATCAACATCAGCCTGGAAGCCAAAACATAATTGAGTGCCATGGATCAGAACAATATACTACTGAAAAATGATAACTTACCATTCATGTGTTATCATATATTAATTAAGTTTAGTGGTCATGCAAGCATGCACTGTAGACATAAAATAGTTTCATGCAGTCAACCAATTATAAATAATATTGGTACAACTTTTAAGGTAGCTTTTGTAAAAAGTCAATAAAGTTTGTGATTGTATGACGGTGCGTAGCCTATTTTCTCGTATTAAGTATTATCAATCTATCACTATACTAAAAATGTCTTGTTAAATGATACTTAGAACAATCCGTTTCAAGCTTGATCATAAAGAATGAAATAGTAAACAATTAATTGCACCCAGGGTCCTGGTGGCATGAAAAAATAGTTGCTCATCCCTAACTATGCCTGACATTCACTACAATACAATTATGATAGTATATAAAAATAAGAGAGAAATGCAGCAGAATCTTTGAAGGTTTCCTCTTAACACATTATTATTATTATTATTATTATTATTATTATGTAAAATCTTAGTAGGGTCCATACTAAATGGAAGACTTGGACAAAATGTAGGATTTATGAAATTAAGGAAATAGAGATGATTCTGAAGTTGTACTTACTGCTTGCATAAGGTCATAAATTTCAGATTCATTGAGATTAGCACCAAACTTTTTCAGTCCAACATTGAGTTCTTCGAATGTAATTTGACCACTATTGTCTGTGTCTATCATCTTAAACATTTCTTTCAACCCTGCAATTTCTTCTTCAGAGAGATTCTCTGCTATAACCTGAAGAGAACAATAATTTAGCAAAGTATGACAATCTAAGAAGAAACTTTCCAGCATTGAGCACCAAAATTTAGCAACAAGTTGACAAATTAAACTTTGCAAATAAAAGTATTATAGTTATCAATCTTTAGAAAGAGGGAAAATTGATATTTGTATGAAACTGGATTATAGAATAGAAAATAACATACTCTAAGAGCCATTTTCTTGAGTTTGTTCATTGCATAGAACTGTTTCAGGCGACTCAAAACTGCAGAATCAAGAGGCTTGTCTGGAGCTGCTCCATCAACATGAATCCAAGGGTGACCTGCAAAAACTCAGAACATCATTAACAATGTGTAGAATACCTCAACTTCAACAATTTTATAATAATTCGTATTCACAAGTCACAGTTGTGACAATAAAATGCCTAATTTTCATCCGAGATACAATATACCACATGAGTGTGTTGAAAAAACAAAAAACTAAAATATCTAACATACAGAAATTTTATGAAAAACTTAATGAGTAAATAGTTTCATTTATGTGCTGCAGGCAGCAGGTGTATTGAAGAAAACAACTGTCATCTAACAAAATAAATAAGGTTGTGTTGAAGAAAAAATATAATATATAATCACATGTCAAATATGGTATGAGACTAATAACTTTTGTTGCATTGACACCTAAAAGAGATCATAGTATAGAATCTTACGAAGAACATCATGAGCTGATATCCTTTTACTAGGATCTCTGACCAGCATCTTCCTAACCAAGTCTTTGGCACTTTCAGATATAACAGGCCAAGGATCCGATGTGAAATCAAGTTCATGATGCAATATTGCCTCAAATATCTCCTGCTCCGATTCTGTTACCAAGGAACAAAATAAATTTTAAGAAGTTTAGAACCATGAAACTTTTGAAGGAAAAAAGAGTTTCATTTTCATACATTGTCGCTGTATTTTTAAATTGTTAACCAATCAGAAATCATCTTAATTGTGACTTGGTCAACAAACTTATCATACATAGACAATTTGTAATTGGACAACGAAAAAATTTTCTAATACCATTTAATAAAAAGAAAATGACCAAAATGCTTGGATCATAATGTGCTAGCTTAGCTATGTTAAGAACTATTACCACCCCAAAATGGAGGCACCCCACTTAAGAGAATGTATATTATGACACCGGCACTCCACACATCTGCTTCAGGGCCATAACGCTTGCGAAGAACTTCAGGCGCTACATAATAAGGACTTCCTACTACATCGTTGAAAATTTCACCTGCATATGATGATTAGTGACAGAAGTTTAGGGTGATCATATAAGTAGAAGTGTAGAACTATACAGAAACTTTACGTAATGTCAAATGAGTTATGTTTAGAAAGGCATTAAGATGGAAGGACGCAAATAAACAAAGCCTCTTAACCATTGCACAAACAAGAACTTTTCTTCACAAAATATCATTTTTCTAATCTAAAAAGTTTATTGTTCTTCCCATTTTATTTCTCAAAATCAACATAACTCTGCTTAGCATAAGTTGCACTCAGAATTTCACATAATACATGAGTTCCTCTCTCGTTATTCCCCCATGTTAGGTAAGTTTTGCATACTCAAAATAAAAACTACTTGTTTATTATTAAAATTCCAGTAATCAGTAATTACATTATACTATATAGCCGTTTGGTTTCAGTTTTTGTTTTTCTCCAAAAGAAAACCCAAGGAAAGAAAGACATTTGTATGTTGAAACAAAAAAATATGATACATTCCATTAGCCATCATATTAGTTACAAGAATAAAATGATTTCTCCATAAGCAGAAAACTATAGCAAATCAATCACCAAAGCAAAATAGTGGAATTAGAACCATCAAATTAAATCCCCTAGCCCCCAATTAGTAGAACAGGAACATAAGCATTTCCCGTATCCTAGTCATTCTCTATGATCACTACACTATTGATAATATAATCACACAAAAAGGCCCATTAATTTTTCAATGAGGAATATTAAGTTCAACACTACAAGTCACACTATACACCTAATGAATATTAATTAGAATCAATGGCCCACAAAAAAAAATTGATAAAAGGGAAATTCTATGATACTCTCTGAAATTTACAAATCTCTTTCTCCCTCTCTCTCCTTTGGTGCACCTAAAACCATTCAACTATTGGCCCAAAAACCAATTGTACCAAAAAAATTTTAGATTTGTCTGGGTACCACAACAACTCTCTAAATGAAAACCAAAAGCAGGCAACTGAAGATAGATGTTAATTGCACATGGGGAAGAGAAACTATGGAACATTTTGACAAACCTGGTTTGAAAAATGCAGACAGTCCAAAATCTATTGCCTTGAGAGGTGCTTCTTCTTGCTGATTAACAAAGAGAAAATTCTCAGGCTTAAGATCCCTATGCATCACTCCAAGGGAGTGGCAAGACTCAATGACACCAACAATAGTCCTTGAAAGCTTAGCAGCCTTTTTCTCAGTGTAATGCCCTCTTTCCACAATCCTATCAAACAGCTCACCCCCTGCACACAGCTCCATAACAACATGAACTGCAACATTGTCCTCAAAAGCCTCCTTGATGGAGATCACATTAGGACTCCCTGCCAAGTGGTGCATTATCTGAATCTCCCTTCTCACATCCTCCACATCCTCATCTGTCAAAAGCTTCCTCTTCAATATGGACTTGCATGCATACTCCTTCCCAGTGGCCTTCTCCACACAAAGGAAAGTGGTTCCAAACTGGCCTTGTCCGAGCTTTGGTCCCAAATTGTAGGAATCCCTCAGGTTACCGGTTTTCCTTAGCAAAACTGAATCTGCTTTGAGGCCTGCAGTTGCTAGCCTCTTCACATTGAGTGGCTTCTTCGGTTTTGCTGGCTCTGGCCTTGTTGGCTCTGAAGGTGGTTTAGTCTCTCTTGGTGGAGGTGCATTCGCCTCATCCCTCTCTATTTTCACTACCTGTGGAGGCTTGGTTTCCGTGTCTTTTTTGCTCTTTTTGCCACCTTTTTTTGCATGAGAAGCGTCTTTCTTGCGTGACCACCAGAATGAACTAGATGACGTTCCACCTTTAGAGGTTCTCGATCCAATACAGGTGTTTCCCATCTGACACTAGATGCTACTCCTTGTTCCAAGCATCTAATATAACAAGCAAGAACCAAATGAAGAAAAAGAAAGAAAAAACTAGAACCCCATTTTCTTCTCAAAATGAAAACAAAAAAGACAAAATTTATGTACACTTTCATGTTTCTATTCTCCTATCAGAATTAGAGTTTCACCATATAACTTACGTAGACCTTTAAAGCATGAAAACATTTGTTTCGCATATTCTCAAGATGAAACTTCGATTCTAAAAGAACTTTGCATAAGTTTTATCCGAAGAAGAAAAAAAAATGCAGGTTTATGACATATATACCTTATTAGCTTGATGGGGCAATGCAATTGATGCAAGAATTTGAGAAGGATTTTGTTCGTGCCACATAGTGAGGCATGAACATGCAAACGTGGGGGTACCCTTTTCAGGTTTGAGCTAGAAACACGAAAATAAAATATATAAAAAAGGAAAAAGAAGAAGAAAAAAAAAAGCCTTTTCAAGATTTGAGAAACACGAAAAAAACCCTTTATGGTAGGAGCTTGAAGGAAGAGTATTTATGATTTTAAGGAGAAAGATAAACGTAAATGGAAAAGGGTTTTGATTTTGAAGGCGTGAAGGAGAGAGAGGAATGGAGAAGGAAGAAAAAGGAGGGAAAATGAGTTAAAGCGGTTTTTTCCGTTAAGAGAGGATGAATGAAAATGTGTTGGCGATTAATCGGAGGGCTGAGAAGAAGCGACAATTGGAGTGGACGGTTCAGATTTGGTGATGTGGTTGTCACGTTAATGGCAATGTGCATGCAAATTGAGATCTCTATCTGTCTCCAGAACCGCCGGCGGCCGGCAGCAGGCCCTCGCCGGTGATCATTTCTTTTTTTTTTTTTTTTCTTTTTGATTTGTTGGGGATTTTTTTTTTAATTTCAATTTAGGTAAGTGGGTTGTGTTTGGATTAGGAAAATGAAGAATTAGCCCAACATGTGAGTTGGTATCTTACATATGCACCTCACGTTGATCAATGCCAAAATAATACTAATAGTTAATATATGCATATTAGTTTTGGAGTATTGTTAACTTACATTTTTTTTTTCTTTTGGGTAAATTACATTTTGGACTCTATTTTTTAATTCTGTAATCTTGTTTTAGTAGTTAAATATTTGTAGGTTCACTATTAATTATAAACTGATCGTGACATGTCTTTAATGAGATAATATGATAATTAATATTTAATTAAATTATATATTTTTCTTCATTTTTACTTGTTTTTGTCTTTTTTTTTAACTACATATTTTTTAACTTTTATCACTTTTTTGAAATGTGAATGGAGACTAAGAATGCAAGTTGTCATGATAATATTGTAATTTTAAAGGTGAATTATGTCTCAAAATTACAGATTTTATAAAATTAAATTATTAAATTTGTAAAAAAAATAAAGAAATTGAATATTACAAGAAGACTTAATACAAATTAATAGCCTTTCTTGGTATTAAAAAAAATCAGCCTTTCTCTCTTTCTTCATTACGTAAGTTATTTTATCTAGTATATACCCTTTTCTCTCTTCCCTGTTTCCCTATCATTTTCTTTATTTATTCCATTCAAGCCAAAATAGGGTTCTATCTTACCTATTTTCCTAACCATACGCAAATTTTAGTCTCACTTTAAATTAAAGTGAGCAGGACATCTAAATCTTCTATAATGAACATCTCACTTTAAAAATTGAAATAAACCATCTTAAGTATTAATAAAATAATAATTAATACTATATATATATATATATATACACGTTCATAACACATCATTTATTGAGCACTAAAATTGTTTACGTCATATATTAGTCAAAATCCCAACTTTACTTTATGAGTAACTGATAAAAAAATGTAAAAGAGATCCAAAACTTTTTAATTCTATTGAAGAACTGTACATGCACGTACATTTTCAACATATATGGGAGATTTCATAATCACGAACTTGATTTTGTTTCGTAGATTAATTTCTTTAGAATAAGACAAAACAAAATCCGAGTTAAAAATAACACTTGCAATAAGTAAAAGAGAAAACCCCAAGCGTTGATCCACGCATAAGTAAGGTCAGGGATTCGAATCCTGCCTTGTATATGCAGGCAAGCCACGTTAAATCTTGGGGTCAGTTATCCCAGCTGCCTTAAATTTTGGGGCCAGTTATCCCACCATTTGAAGTACCTCCAACGTATAGTCACTGCTATCCGCCCTGGATACTCCAGGGACGAATAAAAAAAAAAAGTAAAAGAGAAAAAGAAAAAACAGATCACGAGAAGTGCGTCAACTATGTTGTTCCGCATTAACATCCATTAGAGGTATTCAACCTCACAACTACGTGAATTATTGGGGAGCAATCGATACATAATTACCTATATTCTTTGAATTTAATCCAATGTATGATGCATCATAATCTGTTGTGTGCAAATTGGCACGAAGATGAATATAATGTAATGAACACTTCGTAGGCACCCACTCCACCAAAGTCAAATGACCCAAACGTGCTTATCGAATCCCGTTGTGAATTTATAATCATGCACTTACGTATATGACATAATTGGACAAGAACTTTGTGATCAACCAAGACACTTTCTGCAGTTTTTTGAAGGGGTTGTGTGCGAAGGGAAAATTGAAAGAGGCGGAGACACTGTTTGGGGAGATGCAGAGGAGATCCCAGTTGAGTGGAAAACTTGAGTCAACCGGAGGAATATTAACGTGATATGATAATGTTCGGTCAATGGAATTCTTGCAGAGGTATTTAGCCCCTAAAAACTATGGCGCATTGTGGGAGGGGTCTGCTTAATCCAGCACTGCAGGTTTAAAGTTCATTATATAGAGTGCTTGGGTTGAAACTCTCGTTTACCATCAAGTCCGGGATGGTTGGTGTGGTCTGTTTACTGATTGGGTTTGGATAGAAGTGGAGAACAATTGATCCAACTCAATAGATCAGTAATGGAAATAGTTATGATATAACTAGCGCTATAGTATATTTTTTTTTTATTATTATTATAAAATAGTTGTTATAAATTTATAGTAGTCGCTCATATGTGTAGGGATTTTATATTCTAATAATTAAATTGAGTTAATATTATATTAGCTTTTAATTATTGGTAAACTTTATTTTATGTGATTAAATTAAATAAGTTCATTAGAGAACTAAATTAAACTATATAGACTTTAATGAACATATATTAATGTTGGTCCATTAGGAGATAATATGAATCCTCTTGAATTAGCAGTTATAGGAAAATTATGATCTCTAATATATCATTTTGCAGTTCATACTCCCTTGCTCCATATGAAGAGAGACTTAGGTCTCATGAGGAAACTCAAGAGATTTGATTGAGGAATAAAGTAATTGATTTTCTTTGTTCGTGTTTAACGCAACACTTATTGAAGAATGTTTAGATCATGAGTCAATTGTAGAGTTAGGTATTTATCCTATCCTTTGTAATCAATCATGTTGTAGATCTTAGGACCTTTGGTGTTTTGTACTAGGATGGAGACGTGTGAACCTTGAATTCTACATAAAGAATAAAGATTATGAAAATAAAGGATTAAAATTTTCAACATATATACGTGTTAATATTAAAGTCATTTCCATTAATTTTCAATATATTTAGAGAGAAGGCAATTGAAATCAATTAAGGTATTGTTTGCATTATAATAATTTCCATTAGTATATCGGAGCACATCTATCAGTCGAGACTAAAGGAAAATAGTGACCAAGGAAATATATTTAGAGTGTGTTTTCAAAAATATAAAGGACTAGATTTTTCACGTCAAATGAGCAGCAACTTGTAGTAGCTTTTGCATTCTTTAGGCTTTGGATATGGAAAAAAGAATGTAAATGTCAATTTTGATGTAATCTCAAAAAGGCACTTATCCAACTTGTTTATTTGTGAGCTTCGCAAATTTGACACAAATAAAAAAATTTTGACCATTTAATTTGCAGACTAAACTTATCTGAATATTAAAAATGTTGACTTTGTAAATTAAACTTTAAATGAGTTAGATCGATTTGTTTATAAGGGTTGGAAAGGAGGTCCTTCATTCATGAAGAAGTGATATTTAATGTCCATTATGCATTTGTTTCATTTAATGTAGTGGTAATCTTTAAGAGTTATGTCTCCTGGTATACTTCAGTTTTAATTTCTACTAAGTGCTTCATTGATTTATTTTTTAAAAATTTAATTGTTTCCCATCTAAATTTTTGTTTCCCATGCCCCTTCTCACAATGTTGCCAAAAGAAGTTAAGACAAATGACGAGTGATACAACCATGAGAGGAAGTCACGAGCAACGATGCAAGATGGGCAACAAGTGATGGAGAAGGCATAATTAGGTTGTGGTGGGAATGTAAAATGAGGAAGAAGGTTGAGAGGGTTCGTGGAAGACATAGGTTTCGAGAGTAGTGGTGAAGATGCATCCAACAAAATAACCTTCACTTTTTTTTTTTTTTAATTTTACAGTCTTCTTTGAATTGATCCAATTCTTAATCATAGCAGCCTTCATAGAAAATAACTTGAAAATTTGGAAAATACAATAACTAGAGGAGCTTTTGATCATTCTATATGTTGTAATATTCAAGAGAGATTTTCATTCAAGTCACTAGAGTAGCTTTTTCATTCACTCTTTTAGATGGATTTATTAATTTTTAACTATATTAATGATTGTTGGTTGGAATATGCATTTAGATATTGTTCTTATCGGGAATCCGAGGTAGGGATGATTCGCTGGGTAAGATCGGTGAGCCTCTTTCACTGGTACGTTGATGCTCCAAGATGGGGGTGGTACCTGCAAAAGAGACTCTGATGCTAAAATTAGTGTTTGTGGGAGTATTAGTCTCGTATAAATAATGCACGTACCTTGGTGTAAATTAGGGTTTCGTTGGGCCTTGGGCTTGAGATCAGTTATGATCTAATTAGATAGTGGATCTCGTCTAGACCGAGATCTCCCAGCGCATGTCCGAGGTCGTCCTGCGCTGTGATACCGAGCTCGAGCTCGGCATAGCGGTACGGATAGTACACTAGCCCCCCGAGCTCCGAAGACCGTAGGTCGAGGAGTTGAGATCGAGCTCGTCAAGGGGTCGTGACCTCTCGCGTACGCCTGCCTGTCGAGATGCCATGTGTCACAACTGTCGTTTGACGTTTCGAAACGCGAGGTCGACGCGTTAATGGACATGACGGTTGCGCAATGATGGTAGTGCTTGTCATAGTGGGGCCTCATTAATACGCTGACAGTTTTGTCTTTTCGCTGACACGTGTTGTTACCGTTTTGAATTTGGAGGGTCTTCTTTTCTTTCTTTCGCGCCCTCTCTCCTTCCACTTTACCCTTTTTTCGTTCTTTCAGCTTCTTGCGCACATTGCTTCCCTTGCTTCTATTCATTTCCCACCTTCGTCTTCTCTGTTTCCGTCGCCGTTCCCGGCAACTGGGTTCTGCTCCTTCCTTATCGCTCTTTCTTTTGTCAAAGGGGTACCAGGTACTTTGATTTCCCTGTTCTCTCTTTCTTCTCCAATCTTTCCCTCTTTGAGTCTTTCTGTTTTCTTAATGGCTAGAGAGAGTGGTGCCAGATCTTCCGCGCCTGCCAAGAGCAAAGGTAAGGTGCGCGGCAAGGCGGTGGCTACCGGAACGGCCGTCGCCGAAAAGAAGAAGGCGAAGAACCTGCCTAAGGATCTCGTCCCCGGCGTTCCTGACTATAACTGGGTCAGGCGCGACGTGGGGGAGTTCCAGGGCGTATTCAAGTCGTTCCTGGAGATCAATGCGATTCAAAGAATGCATAGGATCTGTGAATCTTCTGTCTCCAAATTTGTCCGTCTCGAGCCGTGTCGACCCGATGAGCGTGTGTATATGGGG